AATTATTTTGAATAGTGATATGATGGGAAATGTGTGGTTGAAAAAGAAGAAAAAATTATTGATGTGATGGAAAATATTATTTTATTGAAAAATGTGTGGTTGAAAATGAGAATTGATTTACTGTAAAATTTTGAGAATCCCTCCCAAACAGGGCCTTTATGAAATTCACAAGTTTGCAACCATATATTCTATCATTGGCTAGATTCTAGAACAAGTTTTAAATGCAAAACTTGTCTAGTTTGGGGTTAAAATACCATTTTGGGCCTTCCTAGGGATCAAAACAACACAATAAAGAAAATAAACTTTTCGCTTTAGGAGAATTAGTCATTGCGTATGTTTGACTAGTTATAAATTGATAGAAATAAGTATTAGATATTACATAGTACTTATGGATTTCACGAAATATATAAACAAAAAATGATTTAACTAATTATAAATAATTTATAATCAATAGCCAAACAGGGACGAAATTAAACATATCAGATCCAGGATACTTTTTGCTTATTTGGTAAAGCTTAAAAAGTTGCTATAAAATTCAGGTTAAAGTCAACAATTAATTTTAATCATACATTTTATAGGTTCCACAATTTTTATTAATTTTTCAACGACACATTTCATCCATTTTTATTAAGATTTATTATATTCTTTTGATCAAAGATTGTCAAACAACCCCATGGTTTATGTTTGAGTCATGTGAATATAAGAATAAAAATGATATTTGACCACCTCATTAATTTGGAAAAACTTTAATACTCAAAATCTAAGACTGATGAGGCCAATTCAACTTTGAAGTCTAACCGGTACAAGGCATATAAGATGTAATGTTCGGCCAGAAATAATATTTTTTTTTTAAATTCGAATTATAAGTCATAGGACGTATAATTGTGTATATTTTGATTTAACCCAATTTGTGAATTCAATATTTATACAGTCATGCTTAGTGTACATAATTTTTTGTATGCCTCATTATTGGACTGGTTTTTTTTAAAAAAAAAAACAACAGTTTTTGCATTTAGTCATCTGCTGCCAACACTGCATCGTCAAGCAAGTTGACAAAAAAATTTGTACAAATAGATTTATCCATATTTATAAGAAAGCTATTTCGTCTTGTAATTGGATTATGAGATATTTGAGATTATGTGATCTTAAAGTTCAAAATTGAGATTGGCTTTGTTTACTCGAATTTGAAGTGTCACCAAAGTTATTCTTGTGCACGTGTGTGTGTGTATTTTTTAAAAAAAAAAAATTAACATATGAGCGTTAATACTAAACTAAAAATTTCACAGAAAGTTAATTGCTCGTGGTTGCACGAGTTGGTAGCTCGGATGATTGGATGATCAATTAACTTGGACACCTATAAGAAGTTTTCTTTATTTAAGATTTCTATAAATGAATATCAATAAATTTATATCTTTACTCTTATCGAGTAGATCAGGGCAAAATAATCGTGAATTCAGCTCAAACTGTTAAATCGATATGACTCGGGTCATGACCCAATTTTAGGGATGAAATTTTACATACGAAACCTCAATTTTAATTTTGGGTTTTTTTTTTTTTACAGAAAAATGGATTCAAAGGGAGAATACAGTAAAATCGACCAAACTGTCATCTATCGATCGATTCAAGTCGATTTGGTTCGATTTTTACACAACCCGAAGGGTAGGTATGGTGGTCGGGTTGGATCCCAGACTGACCCATGTTCCTGACGCATGCCCAACCCCAATGTTGAAACTCAAGTAAGTTTTAGGAAGGTGTTCTCATCCACCAAGACCACATCATTAGAATCATTCTTACCTTCGACAACCAATCTCAATCGTCTTAGCCACCATCGATGCTATTTTATTTATCTCTTTGTAAAGCTATTTAAACCTTTATTTTCTTGTATTTTCTTGTACAAAGTGTTTGTACAGACACTCTCGAACAAAATGGTGCTGTTGAGAGGAAGCATAGATATCTTGTCAAAACTGCCTGCTCTCTTTTCTTGGGGTGCGTGTGAGTGAGGATAAAACATGCTGAAAAGATCCATTTTGGTACAGTGGGGACAGTACGTCGTCGATCTAACAGCCGGGACAGCCCGTTAAGTGGGACCCGGGTCGTTACAAATGGTATTAGAGCCCAGTTGTCAGCCGAAAATTGGGAACTAAGTGCTACGCGGGACAAAGTGCTACGCCATAGGGCGGTAGCCACCTCTTGAACCCGTAGGAGCCACCTCTAGAATCCCAACGCCCAGGAACGAATCCTCAGATGGATCAAGCGCGACGAGGACGTCGCGAGTCTAACGGGGGGTAATTGTAATACCCATATTAAGAAAGCTTAAAAGATTTGATAGGTACTACTCATACCAACAAGGTGCACCTTCTTTTCCGGAAGTCAATCGTTAGAAACTCTACAATTAAACTCCTTGGTTTGGAGCAATTCTATGATCGGTGACCCCCTGGGAAGTTTTCTTAGGGAGCGTGCAAGTGAAGATAAAGCATGCTGACAGACCCATGTTGGTACAGTGTGGACAATACGTCGTCGATCTAACGACCGGAAAAGCCCGTTAAGTGGGACCCGAGTCGTTACAAATGGTATCAGAGCCCGATTGCCAGCCGGAATCGGGAAGTAAGTGCTATGCGGGACAAAGTGCTACGCCATAGGGCAGGAGCCACCTCTTGAACCCGTAAGAGCCACCTCTAGAATCCTTACGCCTGGCAACGAATCCTCAGATGAATCAAGCGCGACGAAGACGTCGCGA